AATTTTTTTTTTTTTTTGAATACGATACTCTTTTTTTTTTTTTTAAGTATGTTGTAGCCTCGTGAACATTTTGCTTACATTAGATTCTTTTTACAACATTTTTGTTTCTCGTAAATATTCTTGTTTTTTTACTTCTTGCTTCATTTTCTAATTTTTCGAATTTCGAATAAGTTCGTTTTTTTTTTTTTTTTGTACAAATTATATATTTTTTTAAAATATTAGTATATCCTTTAGCAAGGATGCGCTTTTTTTCCCTTTGTTTTCTTGCTCATCCAACGAAAATAGCGTTCCAAGAAACGGTCCCTTTCTTCGCTTTCTTTCCTTGCTTTTCCTTCGCGGATCATTATTCTTGATCACAGACTGACGTTCATCGTCGCGGAGGCTTCTCTGGTGGATAGTTACGTGATTACGACGAAGAAGAAACAAAGAATTAACAGCAACCAAAATAACAAACGTATTTCCCAGTTTCTCTTGAAATTTAACTGAAAGAGAGAGGAAAATAGCCAGGGAATCCGAAGAAATCTTGTTGTGATGATGCATACTATCTTCTGTAATTAGAATGGCTCTGCTAAAATCTTGTTCCGAATTTTGGCAAGCAAATCTTTATGACTTACGCGATTCATCAAATCTAAAACTCGTTAGTAATATGCTAACTGGTAATTAATTGATTGGTCTGCAAGTTGGAATAAATCAAAAGAATTAGAAGAACGGAATAATCGAGAATATAGATCTTTAAAAATAGCCAAGACGTCTGGACGTGTAATTTCTACGTGATAAAACTTCGTTACATTGCCAAAAAATCCTCTCAGCCCAAAATCCACAATTACGTTCTCATTCTCATAAAGCTGAAAACATAATTATCGATTATTAGAAACAATGGATGATGAAGTTATTAGAACGATATTTTACTCGCTTAAAACGCGTAATTAAAAAAATATAAAATTTATACGTTACCTCCAGCCTCCATTTTATAGAATTATTTTTATTAAGTGGAATGCGATGAAAATAATCTTAAAAATATAAACGATGATTTGGAAAATTGATCAAGTATTATAACAAATTTTTCTTCACCACTATATCGGTCACTAAAGCCACGTGACCACTTGTTTGTCATCGATCAGATTCGCATATTCGATTCATGAATCGAAGTCAATCGTTCGTGGCCATGGCCGAGCCAAATTCAGAGACAATGTGTGTAACAAGTGTTCGCGATGCGCTTCCCTTCTCAATGCAATACGTTGAAACAACGTGCGCCTGGCATTGAGAGGATGCAATCGGAAGTTTATCAGGTCGAGCTCGACGTAGTAGTAGTTACATAAAAATTGTCTACTCCTCTTGAACCCCTTTACGTAATTCACACCGATTCCTCCTTTCCTACGATCAAAATTATTCTTATCAACTTTTGTACTTATTTTTATATACACACATAATTTCACATAAAAATACACATAAAAATATATATATATATATATTACGTTCATAGAGTTTTCTTGCACATTTTAAAGATAACGAAGTAAGAGTAATGCGCCATCAAAGAAGCTTCCGCACGCATGCTTGTAATCCGAATTTTCATAAAATTATTCGTGTAGACCGCTTCATTCGCCGCTCTCTCGATACTCGCCGCATCTGTCGACGATCACGGAGTCCCCGTTGTCCACTCTGCGTCGCTACTCACCCGTGGCGATCCCCACGCGATCTAGACGGGTGATCGACACCGCGGATATAGACGTGTCGACGCCGAGAATCCTGTCGCAGGATGGTGGCAATCACCAAAGAAATCGTCTACGACGCGACAGGCCCACGATCAAGATCAGGTGTCAAGCGTTGAAGGATAATCCCGCTTTGCGGCAGCACAACGAGAAGCACGAGAAATCTGTGGGTGAATTGTTGGTGGAGAAGTTTTTGATCAAGGACAAGAAGTTGGAGGACGAGGAGAAGCAGCAACGTCTGTTCCATCAGATCAGTCTGGACAGGGGGGAGGAGAAGGAGAAGGAGAGGAAGAAAGAGGAGGAGGAGGAGGAGGAGGAGGAGAAAGAGGAGGAGGACGATCGTGACCTGCAACAGGTGAAAAATAAAATTACGAGAAGGTTTACAAGGAGACGTTCTTCGGCGGATATTCAATTGGATGCTGAACAGATCGAGAGGAAGGTTGCTTACGCTCAGGTCCAGGCGAAGGTATTGGACACGTTGGTGGCTGAAGAGCAAGCGGAGATTGAGAACGAGGTCCGTAGAGGGACGTTGATCAATAAGGGGAAGCGGAAACCTGTTCCCAGCTTCTTCAGGAACGTGGATGGTGATTCCGTGTCGCAGAGCGAGGAGGAGGCCGCGGCGCAAAAGATGAGAAAGACGTTGAAGAAGATGAAGAAGAGGAAGAAAACCATCGAGAAACCTTCGCCACCTGAAACGAACGAGAGTTCAAGGGTGTGCAATAGCGACGTATCCGATTCCAGAATAAGTGAAAATGAGGGGAAAATTGATGAGAATTCGAGATGTTCCCAGAATATATTGGAGGCCGGTAACAGCATTGAGGATTTCTCTACAGCCGTCTGGGCGAACGGAAGCGTGGAACAGTTCAGGGAAAGCGTGAGGATACCGATCCCTAAAAAGATAGAAAAGTTAGACAGGCACGATGTCCAAGAAGAGGAAGAGGAAGAAGAAGAAGAAGAAGAATATGAAGTTGTGTTACCTGTGAAGAAGCCTTACGTGAAGGATACCTCGAGGAACAGCGTGTACTTCACGGTGAAGACACCTCCGGATGCGACGAAGAACGACCCCCTGAAGAAATTAGAAAGCGTTAGCAACAATGGCACAAAGGCGGGGAAAGAAGATAAAATTAATAATCGGATCTTGGATGTCAAAACTGATACGAACCTGAAATCACCTGTTGAGGATAAAATGATTGGGGAGCAAAAGAAAACGGTTGGAATTCCCGAGGGAACGAAATTCGAAGGATCGACGGAGGAAAAGATTGAGGGAAGGAAGAAGATTATCGATAAGTCGACGATAAGTCCGTCATCAAGGATCGAAGCGAAGAACGTGACGCCAAGTGTTGACCCGTTGGCGAGCGAGAGCAGCGCCAGTGAAGCGCTTCCATCGGTCGCGGACAGGCTGCCAAAAGCGTCTAAAATTAATACGGATGAAAATAATGCCGTAGAAGCGCCAAAGCGTGTGTTACGAGAAGCGCAGTACCTGGCAAAGCCGACGAAAGCCGAGCGTGACGAGGACGTGGTGGTATCTAAGTTGTCGGAAAAGAAGGTGGACAAAGCCGTGACCTTGAACGCCACCCGCGCACCGGGTACCACTGCTATTGGGACGGCGGCGAAGACAGGTCAACCTGCGGTTGACTATTCAGAGAGCCTGAAAAAAGATAATACATCGTCAAACGATCGTTCTTCCGTCGATGACGCAACCGGGCAACTCGTGACTAAAAAGATTATTCTAGAGGGTCCCAAAGGTGATACGCAAGAGAGGGAGGTGAAGATCGGGAAGGATGAGGTGAAAGGAAGCTGTGACAGGAAAATGGTTAAACTGGAAAACGAGGAAATTCCGAGAAATTCGCTCTTCAAAGTGGCGACGAAAAAGACTGAGATCAACGAAGAGGGGATTAATAAAGCGGCGTTGAAGGGCGTTAACTTGCAGTGCACGCCAAAGATTGAGGAAGGGAATAAAGAATCGAAGATTCCATGGAGGGATAAAGTTTCCAAGGTCAATAGCTATGGGGATAGTAAGGTTGCATCGGATAAAAGTATAAGGGTCGAGGCTGTTTCGATCAAACAGTCGACGATGGATCAAAAGTCCTTGAAACAATCCATTGATGAGAATTTGACGAGCAAAATACCTTTCGAGAGACCGATTCTTAACGGGGAAGTCCAAGGAAGCTTGTCCAAAAGTACGTCTTCGGAATCTATAGATTTCTGGAGCGAGATCAAGGGACCGGACAGCCCTAAAGCGGGAAAGTTGTCCAACAAGGGATTCAGTTTCATCGGTTCCAAGAGCTCGGAGCCAGGTCGAGGGGTCGAGGACCTCGGAGGCGGGCAACTGGACAAGAAAAAAGAGACCGATCCTAAAATAAGCGTCGCCACTCCGCCGACCGAGCTCAGTAATATCCACGTAATCGAGGAGGAACGGAAGACCGTGGAGAATTCGTTGAAATCCAAGACCGAACGCGCAACATCCACCATTGAAACGCCCTCAACCACCACGGAGAGACCTGAATTGGATAAAGATGATTCGATTCCTAAGAAAGGGTTAAAGAAAAAGAAGAATCTGTCCATAAATATCAACCAAATCCAGATAGAAGCTTACTCTACGGTAAAGAAAGCTCCTTCGAAGAGGGAAGATTCCTCGACCATTTCTTCCAAATCGGTTACCAGCACTCCGGATACCTCCGTTCCAGCTTCCGAAGTTTCTACCCCAATCGCAGAGATTTCTGTCCCTATAATAAATATCGAAAACGTGTCCACACCGGTCACCCTCGATCCTCAAATTTTGGACGAGGAAAATGAGCCCAAAACACCTACTAACGAATGGGCGGACATTGAACAATCGAAGATCTCCAAGTGGAATAATCAGAACGATCTGTCCAATCTTAACTGTGTTGAGAAAGAAGTCGGTCAGGAACCTTCCAAGGATATCAGCGTGAATAGCAGCCCGGAAGGAAGTCCGGAATCCTCTAAGAAGAAAAAGGTGGTCAGAAAAAAGAAGTCTTCTACGATCAAGAAAAGTTCTACTAAAAAAGAATGTAACAAAGACAGCAAAAAGAATACTGCTAGCAAGAAGAATTCCTCCAAGAGTCAAGAGACGTTGAAGCCTGTTGAAGCAAAGGCTTCCTGTAAAAATAGCCCTAAAAACATGCCTTCTCAACGCCCCCTAGATCTCATCAGGATGTTTTATACAACTCCATCAGCATTATTAACCGCAACACCCAGAGATTTGTCTAAAGTTCGTCGAGCCAAGATTAAGAGAAGAAAGCATCATTCCAGGACACCATCTGTAAGCAGTGATAGTACCGGAAGTACCACTAGTACAGCGACCACAGAAAGCAGTGGATCCACGTGTACGGAGCTTGATGATGATCCAGAGCACAAGAGAATGAATTCTACAAGGAGTAACGATTCTGGCTTCGATGGCTCACCAAGGATATCCAGTACTTATCCTTATTTTTGGATCGTTTGTTCTGTT